AATGTAGATTATAGAGAGGGTTCACAGTGCGGCCATTAGCAAAATATTTCACTTTTGGGAGGGGAACTGAAAACGATGAGCGTGTTTCACACTTTTCGGAGGGGTACTGAAACGATGAACGTGTTTCACCACATGTCCACAATTAACATCAGGGGACTGAAAATAGCAGAATTGAGCATTTTCAATGTTAATTGAGAAAAATAATGCTAATTTCAATGTTAAAATGTACGCTTACAGATTGGTATATTTACAATGCGCAAACGACTTTGGATATAATTTGAAGATATTCTTCCTATACAGGGTTAACGAATCGTGCTACAAAATTAAACCGTAATAAGTTTCTTTTAGTCAATGGATTAATTCAATTTTTATTGTGAAGAAAATTTTATTTTATTTAAACAATTACTTATTCCTCCATGCTCAACCACGCATATGTGACACCTAATTCGTAATTGCATCAATTATCTATTTAATGGACTGCTTCAGTTCAGTCAGATTTCTGGGTTTGATTTTGTACACCTCTTGCTTGACATAACCCCATAAGAAAAGACCAAGCGGTCGCAAATATTCTTATACAAGTTAACACCACATACCGTTGAATAGACACACAAAGCTTTATTCAAAAACTAAAGCTCAGGTGAGACTTGCACTGTAAGCAGTATCCCACGGGTAACTGCCAAATGACACCACGTGCATCTGTGCAAGCTGAGTCAACAACACCTTTGAGGACAGCAGTAATGTGACTTAGGTTTAATTTTAAGTTTAAGAAATTTAATCAGTCTAAGTTTTACTTTCATCAAATAAAGACGACTTGGCTTAAAATATTTTTTTTACATAAACGTAACTCAAATGTAAAACTGGCGCCCAACTACCAGTCGCGATCGCCGAAAAAAATAATAATAATGTAGTGTAAATCGGTACCGCGACTACGGAACCTACACAGCTCCTCAAGTAGCAGCACAAAGGGCAAACAACAGCTCCTCAAGTAGCAGCAACAAAGGTGCAACAACATCCTCAAGTAGCAGCAACAACGGTGGACACAGCTCCTCAGTAGCAGCAACAAGGGAAACCAAGTCACTCAAGTAGCAGCAACCTACACATCAGTGCAATCTCCTGGGACAGCAGAACGCACTAACGCAAAGAGTGCGAAAAGAGTGGACCTCAGTAGTGGAAAACAAACAGGACAATCACTCCGCCGCGGGATGATCCTACTGTAAGCATAGACCAAGATATCATCGAAAAACAATAATAGAAACATATTCAGATAGAAGTAAGTGAAAGAAATAAGAAAATATCGTGAAATAAGTATAAAGATTATAGTTTCTTGAAAACAAATCGTAATAGAGTAAAAGTAAAGTGGGAAAAAGAAGAAGTGAAATATTCAAATTTAATTAAAACGGAAAATATCAAATTTAAACGAAAAATATATATATATATACAGAGAACATTTTAATATATTTGTAGAAAAGTAAAGTTAAACCAATTAAAATTAACGAAGGAGTATATTCAATTTGGGAAAAATTTTTATAATTAATCACTAAAGGCTTGTACAGCCAATAATTAAATAAAAGCAAGGCCGCGATTCACCACCTTTAAGGGACCCTCCGGCTTTTATAATAAAAACAACTTGCGATTCACCTAAACGGGACCTCCAGAGATTGATAATCAAAATTATAAATAAAACAAGGCTTGTACAGCCAATAAAATACTAAATTCTAAAAGTCGCGATTCACACCTTTAAGGGGACCTCCGGCTTTATAATAAAGAACAACTCTGCGCTTCACCTAAACGGGACCCTCCAGAGATTGCTAAAATAAACATAATAATATATATCCATTATATTCAACTTTATTTTTCATAAACTTTTTAATTTAATTTTTAATTTAATCCTCAAAATGAGTAATCCGATCTTAATTAGACCTCCAGTCCTAAATACCAATATACCAATATACCACCACCCTCCAATCCTCAAGTTACCCCAGAACTATCCAACGTCATACGAAATATCGTAACTCAAGTTATTTTGACAGACGCCCCAGCTCTCATTGAGAATATTATTCAACCAGAAGGAAACGTACAGACCAACAATGACCCAAGATATGCAGGAAACCTATCAGACTGACGAGGACCGACGTGTTAGGTGTTTAAGAGATTTTTCTGGCGATCCGAAAGAATTCGCATCTTGGAAGAAAAGTGTAGAGCGAATTTTGAGATTATACATTTTGCATTTTGAATGTCATAAGAAATAAAATAACAGGGAACGCCGATGTAGCGTTAGGTCTTATAACACTCCTGCTCAATTGGGAGCAATTTCGAAATGCCTTAATACGCATTACGCAGACCAAAGAGACATCAGTACGTTGGAGTACCAAATGTATTCTCTTTCCAAGGAAATAAAATCTATTAACGAATTTATCAACAGATTTTTCCCACCTTTCCCAATATTGAATAAAATTGCCTGTCTTGACATAGGTCAAGAATCTTAAATATATTACTAAAACTTACCGCGATAAAGCATTAGACACTTTTGTGAGAGGTTTGAATGGTGAACTTCCAAATTATAATAATAAAAGAACCAACTGACCTTACTCAAGCACTTTCAGTTTGCATGAAATTACAAATCAAAAATTTCGAAACACAGCACGCTTTCAACAACCAACCTATATCACGAACAACCAATCACACCCACTTCCATTAAGAAACAACAATATCAAAGCAACCTTTTTATCCGAATCTAAGCATACATTTCCCAACCAATCCATCGCGCTACAGAATTTAGTACAACCAGCAGCATTCAGAAATATGCAATACCAAAACCCCATTATCCTCAATATCAAAATAATTTTGTCAATCCCAATACAAAACATGTCTGCTTATCCTTCGAGACAATTACCAAGCCTAACCAATTTAATTATGCACCGCCAAGACTACGCACGAAACCATCAGTTCCGATGGAAATAGACGAATCCCAAAAACTAGAAATATTAATTAAGTGAATAGACCCAACTTCAACGGAATTGCAGGAAAACGACCATCACCACTACCATTCTAAGCAACAAACCGAACAATTTCAACGAATCAACTATATTGCACAAGATACTAAGAAAATAATAAAACTACGAAGAAGATACCACCCAATATGAGGAAATGCAACCATGGAAGAATATAACAACGAATATATGAGGAAAAGAGCAGGACACCCAGAAAATATTTTAATGATTTCGTAGACGTTCATTTTTAGACTAACCTCCATCCGCTACCTTACTTCGAGTGTAGACGAGCGATGGAAAATATTAAAATTCTAATAGATACCGGTTCAAACAAAATTACATCCAAACTTCATTAGTAAAAACCCGAAAACCCAATGAAAAATTTTTCGCAAACTCAGGCGGTCATCGAAATACACACACCGAACTCAAACCATTTCGGGATCAAAGAAGAAAACACAAATTTTTTATCTTACCACACTTAAATCCTTTCATGCAATTCTTGCAACGATAGCCTAAACAGCTAAACGCAGTTATATACATCAGCGACTATTGCTCGAAAAATAACATAAAATCCCCATAAACAAGCAATATCCAAATCAGTTAACAATATTGACCTCAGAACCGAACACTTAACCATGATAAACAAGAAAATTACACTCACTTGCGGCTAGATATCCAGCACTTTTTAGAACGAATGAGAAATTGACATATACAACGACAGTAGTAGCAGAAAAAACAACAACGGATAGGCCAGTTTATTCCAAATACTACCCCTACCCAATGGCTACGAAGGACGAAGTCGAAAACCAATCAAAGAATTGCTAGATCAAGGCATATTACTGTTGGCGCACAACCTAGCTAAGTCGTTTCATTCATAAAGCAACGCCTTACACATCTCCTCGAGCATGCGTTTGCCCACAAGCGTCTTTTCGCGACGATGGCAAAAGCTAGAAATTATAAATTGAACATCTTTCTGATTCCATCTAGAAGGAAAAGTGACAACCCTGGCAAAGACAGAAAAAGTGACCAATCTCGGATTTTCTACCAGCATGACATCGTTCATAATCGATATGTACTTAAATTGGTCCATTTGTCCATTAATTTTGACTATAGGCCGATGCCATGCTATAAATTGCACTATGTTTACGGCTGGTGTCCATTTTGTCCACAAAAGCGGTGCTTTAATTCTTTGGCAGTTTTGAGCGATCCATTTTTATCTCTAATCATCAGATCGTCTTCTCCTGATGTCATTTTCTCGTTATCCGCATCTGTATATACGCAGATCATGTACAGAGAAGGGTAAAACCTTTGCATGCGCTAAAAGAGCGTAATGCTGGAAATAGTCAGAGAATGTGATTATAGAGAGGGTTCCAGTGCGCCATTAGCAAAATATTTCACTTTGGGAGGGAACTGAAAACGATGAGCGTGTCACCACTTTTCGGAGGGTACTGAAAACGATGAACGTGTTTCACCACATGTCCACAATTAACATCAGGGGACTGAGAATCAGCAGTGAATGCTGTTTTCTGTAATTGGAAAAATAACCATTTCAATGTTAAAAGTACGCTTACAGATTGTTTATTACAATGCGCAAACGACTTTGATGATATAATTTGAAGATATTCCTATACAGGGTGGCTAACGAATCGTGCACAAAATTAAACCGATAAGTTTCTTTTAGTCAATGGATTACTATTCAATTTTTATTTGAAGAAAATTTTATTTTATTTAAACAATTACTTATTCTCCATGCTCAACCACGCATATGTGACACCTAATTCGTAATTGCATCAATTATCTATTTAATGGACTGCTTCAGTTCAGTCAGATTTCTGGGTTTGATTTTGTACACCTCTTGCTTGACATAACCCCATAAGAAAAGACCAAGCGGTCGCAAATATTCTTATACAAGTTAACACCACATACGCTGGATAGACACAAAGCTTTATTGTCAAAACTAAAGCTTCAGGTGAGACTTGCACTGTAAGAGTATCCCACGGGTAACCGCCAATGACACCACATGTGCATCTGTGCAATGTGAGTCACAACACCTTTGAGGACAGCAGTAATGTGACTTAGGTTTAATTTTAAGTTTAAGAAATTTTTGTAATCAGTCTAAGTTTTACTTTCATCAAATAAAGACGACTTCGGCTTAAAAAATATTTTTTTTTACATAAACGTAACGTAAAATGTAATAACTGGCGCCCAACTACCAGTCGCGATCGCCGAAAAAAATAATAACTAATGTAGTGCTAATATCGGTACCGCGACTACGGAACCTACACAGCTCCTCAGGTAGCAGCAACAAAGGTGACAACAACAGCTCCTCAAGTAGCAGCAACAAAGGTGACAACAACAGCTCCTCAAGTAGCAGCAACAACGGTGGAACCAACAGCTCCTCAAGTAGCAGCAACAACGGGGAAACCAACAGCTCCTCAAGTAGCAGCAACCTACAACATCAGTGCAATCTCCTGACAGCAGAACGCACTAACCGCAAAGAGTGAAAAGATGGACCCAGTAGTGGAAAACAAACAGGACAATCCACTCCGCCGCGGATGATCCTACTGTAAGCATAGACTAAGATATCATCGAAAAACAATAATACAGAAACATATTCAGTTATAGAAGTAAGTGAGAAAAATAAGAAATATCGTGAAATAAAGTATAAAGATTATAGAAGTTTCTTGAAAAACAAAATCGTAATAGAGATTAAAAGCAAAAGCGGGAAAAGAAGAAGTGAAATATTCAAATTAAAATTATAAAACGGAAAATATCAAATTTAAACGAAAAATATATATATATTACAGAGAAACATTTCCAATATATTTGTAGAAAAGTAAAGTTAAATATACCAATTAAAATTAACGAAGGAGTAATATTCAATTTGGGAAAAATTTTTATATAATACCTAAAGGCTTGTACAGCCAATAATTACAAGCAAGCGCGCGATTCACCACCTTTATGGGACCCTCCGGCTTTATAATAAAAACAACTCTGCGATTCACTAACGGGACCCTCCAGAGATTGATAATCAAAATTATAATAAAAAAGGCTTGTACAGCCAATAAAATACTAAATTTAAAGTCGATTCACCACCTTAAGGGGACCCTCCTGTTTATAATATAAAGAACAACTCTGCGCTTCACCTAAACGGGACCCTCCTAGAGATGCTAAAATAAACATAATAATAATATCCATCTATTCAACTTTATTTTTCATAAACTTTTTAATTTAATTTTTAATTTAATCCTCAATGAGTAATCCGAATCTCATATTAGACTCCAGCCTCAATACCAATATACATATACCACCCCCTCCAATCTCTCAAGTTACCCCAGAACTTCCAACGTCATACTAGAAATTATCGTAACTCAGTTATTTTGACAGACGCCCCAGCTCTCATTGAGAATATTATTCCCAAGAAGGGAAACGGTAACAGACCAAACAATTGACCCAAGATAGAGAACCTATCAGACTTGACAGAGTCTTGTGACGTTGTTAGTGTTTAAGAGATTTTCTGGCGATCCGAAAGAATTCGCATCTTGAAGAAAAGTGTAGAGCGATTTTGAGATTATACATTTGCATTTTGAATGTCATGAAATAAATAACAGGGAACGCCGATGTAGCGTTAGAGTCTTATAACACCTGCCTAATTGGGAAGCAATTGAAATGCCTTAATACGCATTACATGCAGACCAAAGAGACACTGGTACGTTGAGTACTAAATGTATTCTTCAAGGAAATAAATCTATTAACGAATTTACCTTAAGTATTTTCCCACCTTTCCCTAATATTGAATAAAATTGCCTGTCTTGACATAGGTCAAGAATCTTTAAATATATTAACTAAAACTTACCGCGATAAAGCATTAGACACTTTTGTGAGAGGTTTGAATGGTGAACTTCCAAAATTATAATAATAAAAGAACCAACTGACCTACCTCAAGCACTTCAGTTATGCATGAAATTACAAAATCAAAATTTCCGAACACAGCACGCTTTCAACAACCAACCTATATCACGAAAACCAATACCACCCCACTTCCATTAAGAAAACAACAATATCAAAAGCAACCTTTTTATCCGAATCTAGCATACATTCCCCAACCAATCCATCGCGTACAGAATTTAGTACAACCAGCAGCATTCAGAAATATGCAATACCAAAACCCCCATTATCCTCAATATCAAAATAATTTTGTCAATCCCCAATACAAAAACATGTCTGCTTATCCTTCGAGACAATTACCAAGGCCTAACCAATTTAATTATGCACCGCCAAGACCTACGCAACCGAAACCATCAGTTCCGATGGAAATAGACGAATCCCAAAAAACTAGAAATATTAATTACATGAATAGACCCAACTTCAACGGAATTGCAGGAAAACGACCATCACCACCATCTAACCAATTAACAACAAGTCGAACAAATTTCAACGAATCAACTATATTGCACAAGATACTAATGGAAATAATAAAAACTACGAAGAAGATACCACCCAATATGAGGAAATGCAACCATGGGAAGAATATAACAACGAATATATGAGAAAAGAGCAGGACAACCCAGAAAATAATTTTAATGATTTCGTAGACGTTCATTTTTTAGACTAACCTCCTCATCGCTACCTTACTTCGAGTGTAGGACGAGCGATGGAAAAATATTAAAATTTCTAATAGATACCGGTTCGAATAAGAATTACATTCAAACTTCATTAGTAAAAAACCCCAAACCCAATGAAAACATTTTTTTCGCAAAATCAGTAGGCGGCAATATCGAAATATCACAACACACCGAACTCAACCTTTTCGGGATCAAAGAAGAAAAACACAAATTTTTTATCTTACCCACACTTAAATCCTTTCATGCA